AGATACTGGAGGGAGTGCAGGGGATGATGTAGGGGGCAGTATGTGGTGGGGTCTGGATGGTTCAGAGGGGGGATGGGGAGGGGAGGGGTATGTCGGAGGGTGCTCAGCTCTGACACTGCCTCTTGTCCACAGAGCGCCGGGAGTACTTTCAGGTGCTCTTGCCCCCCGTCCCCCAGCAGCTGCCCCCCTGCCCCGGGCCAGCCCCTTCCCTGATGGAAGCTCACACTGCCCAGCTCACTGCCAAGCTGCCCTCCCAGGATCAGACCTGGGGGCTGGGGGGCAACCGGCTGAGGCAGCCAGTAAGTGCTAGGGAAAGGGGGAGTCTGAGTGGGGATCTTATCTGCCCCCACAGGCTTGAGGGGTGGGCAAAGCTGGGTGTGGGGAGCTCAGTGAGGGGATTCAGGGTGAGGGTTGTTTACTGTGAAAGCTAATGTGAGCAGTGTTCAAGGGGTAGGGGGGCCCAGACATCTGGTTTCTGGGGCTGTGTCCAGGGGCTTGGATGAGGGGATTCAGAGTGGGTGCTGTTCACTCTGAAACCTAATGGGCGGTGCCTTGGCAGGGGCAGTGCCTGAACTTCTGGGTTCCCGGGGCCCTAAATGGGGGTTTCCTTGGATCACCCCTTCCTAGCCCCCTTCAGTCTTTTCTTCTCCTATTCCAGGTTCCAGCGGGGCGGGGCATGCCCCCATTGCGGTGCCGTCTCCTGGAGCAGCTGCGCCAAGCTTGTACTCCCCTGGGCGGACGCCTTCCACCTGCCCCAGGGGCTCCAGACCTGACTCGGCTGCTGGGATCATTTGGGGCTGGGGGGGGCCTTGGGGGCCCCACTCTGACTAAGGGGTCCCGGTTCACTCGTGCCCAGCGCCTGGCCCATCAACAGGTATCTGCTGGGGCGGGGGTGTGGCTGAAAAGGGGGAGGTGTGTGGGCTTGGAGCCCCCCCCTCCCCCCCGATCCCTTTCTCCCATTCTCCAGGGCCCAGAGACGCTCACGGAGCAGATGCAGGTGGCAGCTGAATCTCTGGCTTCATCTAAGACCTCAGAGCAGGTAATGGGTCAGGGGGTTGGCTGCACCCCAGTATATGGGGAGGGTCTGCTGCTATGAGGTGATAGAACTATGATGAAGGAGGGATGGCTCCTAGGTTGGGAGGACCCCCCACAGGGGAGAGAGAGGTGCCTGAGTGGGGGAAATCAGGTCTAGCTTGTCTGCTCATTCACTCTGGAACCTAATGATGGCTGCCTGGCAGCGGTCAGGGCTAGGAAAGGTTCCAAGCTTCTTCTTGCTCTCCTCTGACTTCCACGTTACTTTATTTCTTAACTTCCCCCAGGAGGTGCAGGCCCGGCAGGAAGAGGAGTTGGGAGCCCTGTGGGCTGAGCTGGGGCAGCTGGAGGCTGAGATTGCTGGCTTGGGTGGGGAGGTGAAAACCCTGGAGCTGCGACTGGTGCAGGTGAGAGGTTGGGAGGCCAAAGGGGGAGGCTGGTTCTGAGGGGCCACTCAAGGAGCTGTTTACTTGGAAGCCTGATGTACAGGGTCACAACTAGGAACTCTTTGCGGGGCTGGCATGTAGCTGGTTCTGTACTAAAAACCAGAAGGGAGTGAGGCGCTTTGGGGGGAGGGAGCTGTTTTGCGGCTTGGGGCACTAGTCTGTTCATGCTGAAATGTAATGTTGGGGTTCAGGGATGGTAGCTCAGAGGGGGGCTGGGATGCGGCTGGCTTTCGGGAGGGGCTGTGGGGGGGATGTGGCTGACTGGGGAGAACTTGGGGGGCACAGTTGAAGGAAGACTGGGGAAGACTGAAGGGGGGTGGTCTGTTCACTCTGACACCTAATGTGGGACTTCTGAATTCAGAGGAAGGGGGTGGAGGGATGCATCTGGTGCTGGGAAGGGGACAAGGGGCTGTGGCTGACTCTTGAGGGGACTGCCTATAGTGGGGCTGAAAGGGGTGGCCTTTTCACTCTGAAACCTATTGCTGGGGTTCAGATGGAGGGGCTTTGGTGGGGTTGGGATTCTCCTGGTTTTGGGGAGATCTGTTGGGGGTGCTTTTGGCTTTGGGGATGCTGCCTATTGAGGACTGGTATGTGGTTGGCTCTGGGGGTCTCTGGGGGATGTGTGGGGCTGCAGCTGGTTCTGGGGCCCTGGTCTGACCCCCCCACCCCCACCCTCTGCAGATGGAGACAGACGCATCTCAGCGGCGCCAGGCCCTAGGGAGCCGGGAGTGGAGCCTGCGCCTCAAGCGTCGCACAGTGGAGCTGCTGCCTGATGCAGACAGCAACCTGGCCAAGCTGCAGGTCGGGGAAGGGGCTGGTGGGGTGGGTGCGTTGGAGGGGCCTGGGGCAGGGTTAGAAGGAGCAGAGCTAGTGGGGTGGGCAGGAGGTGCTGTGGGGGGAGGAACTGCAGGGGTGGGAGGGCTTTGGAGCCTGAGTCTGGTGAAAGGGAGAGCTAGAGGGAGGTTGAGAAGCCCCAGGAGGGGTGGAGCTAGCAGGTGAAAAGGGCCTGGGGCAGGGCGAGTGGGTGGGAGGAGTTTGGGGTGGGGCCCAGGAGAAGGGGTAGGGCTAGAACTGGAGCGGTCTGAGGGCAAGGCCAACAAGGGGATGGGGCTAGTGGGATCAGTTGTTGGGGGGTTCTGCTCTGGGGAGGTGCTGGACCCACAGGGCAGCTGGTGATGACAGTGGCACCCCCAGCTGGTGGTAGAGAGCAGTGCCCAGCGCATCCTGGCACTGGCAGGGCAGTGGGAGCTGCACCGGCGCCCCCTGCTGGATGAGTGCCGGCGCCTCAAAGGGCTGCGAGACACCCGCCAGGTGAGACCCACCCTGTCTGGGGCGATGGGGTTCGGGAAGATCACGACGCCTGCAGGATATCAAGGCCTTGCATGAGTGGCATCGAAGTGCGGCTACTGAGGCCCAGCGTAAGGAGGAATTGTACCAGCAGCTGGTGAGTGCCTTGCACAAGATAGGGGGCATCACTCAGGGGTGGCATAATCGGGGGATGGGCACTAACTCATGGGGGTGGCAGCACAGGTTGTCGCATGCAGGGGCATCACACAAGATGCTGGGGAGTTGTTGCATGAGGGGGCGTTGCATAGGGATGGCAGAGAGCCTCTTCACACGAAGGTGGATTGCACGGAGTTGGTAGAGTGTGCGGGGGGAGGGGCGGCATGTCACATGGGGCTCACAAGGGACGGCATCACACAGGCATGTGCATAAGGTGGCGACTGTCATGCAGAGGTGCCACGAGAGAACTTGGCAGGTTACCTGCAGGGGCCGGCCCCTGAGTGGCTGCTCCCAGAGGCTTTGTACAAGGAGGACAGGGCCACACAAGATACACAGGGGATGCACTCCCCAGCAGTGGGTGTCACCTCTGGGGTGTTGCACTAGGAGGGGAATGCACTGGCACAAGCCCCCATTGCCCCACTTCTGGCCCCTTCGTGCATCACATGAGCCCATTGCCCTGCCTCCGATCCTGTTGTGCATCACACCAAGTCCTTGTTGCCCCTTCTCTGGCCCCTTCTGCCCCTGGCCTTGCCAGTACTTTCAGCCCAGTGTCTGTTGGCGGGGGAAGGAAGGGTGTCTGTGGGGTGGGACAGCCTCCCATTTCCCTGTTGTCCCCCCCAGGTGCTGGAGCTGGAGGGGCTGCCTCGTGCTGTGTCCCGGGCTGCCTACACCCACCGCATCCTGGAGATTGTCAGTAACATCCGCAAGCAGAAGGAGGAGATCAAGAGGGTGCGGGGGGCGAAGGATCAGCAGGGGGTTCACCCCAGCCATGGTGGGGTAGGGAGGGAGTCCTGTTCTGCGCCCCCCCCCCTTCCCCCTTGGCAACAGTAAAAGGGGTTTATCTGCCAGAGGGCTGGGCTGGAGAGGAAGAAGGCAGCATGGAGAGATGTGGGAGAGGTGCTTGGGGAAGGAGATGGGAGCTGAAGATGTGGGGGAGGGGCTTGGGGAAGGGGTGGGGTCTGCAAGCTCCCGAAGGAGTACAGGGAAGGGCTTGGCTTGGGGGTGCCAAATGGGGCGGTCTAGGACAGGTGGGAGGGGTCTGGGATGGGGGGGGCAGGGATGTTTTGGGGACCCCCAGAAAGAGGAGAGGGAAGAACACTTGTCCCAGGGGGTTGTTCATTCTAAAGCCTAATGATGGCATTGAGGTGGCCTGGCAGTGACCAGTGGAGGCTGTTCCCACCCCCAGGACAGGGGACAGTAGATCACTGTTTCTCCCCACCCCCAGGTGCTGTCGGATACGCGGGGGCTGCAGAAGGAGATAAATGGTCTGACAGGGAAGCTGGAGCGGACCTTTGCTGTCACTGATGAGCTTATCTTTAAGGTGTGGGGGTGGCTGGAGATGGAGCCTGGGTTGTAGGGGGTAGATCCTCTCCGGTGGTGGGGGCAGGGCTTGGAGAAGGGGGGGCCTCCTGACTATGCCCCCCTCCTCCAGGATGCCAAGCGAGATGAGTCGGTGCGAAAGGCTTACAAGTACTTGGCTGCACTTCACGAGGTGAGGAGGGCAAGGTGGGTGCTCTGGGGAAGGGGCTGGGTGTGATGGACAGGACTTGAGTGCTCTGGGGGTGGGATGAGACTGGGGTACATTACTATTACGTGGCACAGGGCTTGGGTCTGGGGTTGGGGCTAGATTGGGGAAGGGGCTTGGGGTATTCTAGGGGAGGAGCTTGGATGTCCTAGGGGTGGAGCTGGATGTGGGAGGATAGGGGCTAGTGTGTTCTGGGGTGGATTAGGACAGGGGGTGGCAACGTTTTTGGGCAGAGTGCCAAAAACTCCCTCACCCTGCACTTGTAAGATGTTGGCATACCAGGGGCGGATGGTGGGTGAGCCACGAGCGGCCTAATCCTTGTTGTGGCAGTGCAGCCCCCGCCCCGGCCCCTTCCCTGCGGTGCACATGCCAAGCAAGATGCCTTTGCATGCCATACTCTGGCACCCGTGCCAGAGGGTTGCCTACCCCTGGATTACGGTTGTCCAGGGACAGGGCTGGGGTTGGAGCTAGGGTGGGGCTGGTGTGAGTTTGGGATGTTTGGGGGCAGAACTTGGATCTAAAGGCAGAGCTTGGTTTAGAGGTAGGGCTTGGGTACTCTAGAGCTGCATTTTTCAACTCGTGGGTTATAACTAGGGCCACGAGAAAGTCATGGATTTCTTGTAGAAAATTTGCAGCACGTGTACGGGTAAAGTATCATTTTTCACGGAATTACCATTGATCTTGGCAAATGGGTTCTGGTAGTTCTGTGAATATTTTGTGAAAAAGGATACTTTACCTGAGCACGTGCAGCAGGCAGGCACATGCCACAGCCAGGGCTAACGGGGCTTAGCCTCCCCCCAAATGCAGGAAAGTAGTGGCAGCGCAAAGGGCCTCAGGGCATCCTGGGTGTGGGCTCTAGGCAGCTGCAGCAGCGGTGGGGAGGGCTGCACACAGACATGGAGCTGCAGCCTGCACACAGCCAGGATTGCAACCCAGCAACTGGAGCAGTGCCCACCACAGCAGGCAAGTCTGTGAAGGGGAAGGGACAGATTGAGGCTCCCACAGTGAGGGCAGGGGCTGGGATGAATGGGACCCTGGGCTGGGTTGTGGGACAGTTGGAGGCCAGGCAGCTTGTCCAGGGCTGCAGGGGGGACTCCCACCACTGTACGCACACTAGCAGAGGCATGGGGGCACGTGCCTCCCAGACTTGTGCATGGGGTGGAAGTGGGCTGCCACTGTGAGCTCGGGCTCTGCCCTGCTGCCATTGCCCCAAGAGCCATACAACACCATGTGCCTGCTCTTGCCAGGCAGGTTGGGGACAGAGCACAGCCCAGCAGCAGCAGGCACATGGCATCTCATGGCAATGGCAGCAGGGCGCAGAGCACCAGCTCGCAGCAGCAGCCCGCATCTGTCCCGCACACATGTTGGGGGGGGGGGGGGGGGGAGG